GTGCATGCCCATAATCACACCACCCGCGAGGCTGAAGTAGGGTTACCCCGAGTTTGAGGCCAGCCTGGGCTAGTGAGTTCAAGGCCAGCATACACTACAAAGACTCTGTCTCACAAAAAAACAAACAAACAAACAAACAACAAAAAAAACAACCCAAAACAACAACAACAATAACAAAATAAAATAAAAATAAACCAAAATATATCTAGGGGCTGGAGATAAAGCTCAGTTTTTTTTTTTTTTTAAAGCTCAGTTTTAAGAGTATATGCTTAGCACATCTGAGGCCCTGGATTAAAAGCCCAGCACCAAAAACAAAATAAATATTCCAAATTTTATTTTCCAAAGATGTTTCCAGCAGTATCTTCTGTTCCTTCCACATTCGACAGTCTTACCACTACTCTAGCAAGAGGTGGCGTGTACGCCTTCTTCCCTTGAGCCCGAGTGGGCCTTTTAACTGCTTTGAACAATTGAGTAAAGCAGAAGTGACATATGACTTCTAAGGCAAAGTTAAAGAAATGCCATGCACTTCCACTTCCTTCTCCAAGGGACCACTTTTGAACCCAGACACCTGCTGTGGGACAGCCCAGGAGCTCACGGAGTGCAGAGAGTAATGACAGTTCTGCCAGGGCTGGGTTCCCCACCAGCAGCCAACTCCCAGACAGGCAAGCAGGCATCTCAGTGGATTCTCTGGCCCCAGGTAAGTCGCCCTTGCTGAGCCAGTGTGGAGCACAGGCAAACTGGCCCACAAGTTCTCCCAACTGCTGAATCATGAGCAAAGCCAATGACAGGTTTGTTTATTTTTATTGACATGGAATCTAGGTTGCACAGGTGGTCTTAAACTTGTGTAATCCTTCTGCCTCAAACTTCAACTAACTGGGACACAGGTGCATGCCACTGTCCCCAGCATATTGTTGTGCAACTTATTTTGTTTTTATGTTTGCAGTGCTGGGGATTGAACCCAGTGCCTTCAATCTGCTAGGAGATGCTCTACCACTGGCCTATACCCCCAGTGACTACTGTTTTATACTAGCAAACGTTCCCTGGTACCTGTCATGTAACAATAAAGAATTAGATATCATTAGTAATGGAAATAAATGACATTCAACTATTATATATCTGTTTTCATTTATT